TAATAAATATATAAATAATTGTTTAAATTATAAATGCTGTCACATTTAATTTAAATTAATTAGTAACTTATAATTTTTTTTTTGAATTGAATAGTTTGCTTATCGTCGTTTACATTTTGTTAATATAATTTGACAAAAGATTGCAATATAGTTATTATTAACAATAATAATTAGAAACTCTCTCGTCGCGACTGTTCTCCAATTATTTTTTTTTCTGTTTTTTTTTTGTTGTTTTCCTTTTATTATAATCATTCGAATATATCATTAAGTCTTTGAAACACGACGGCCATTAATCAAAGCCTTCCACCGCAAGTGTTCTTCTACGACTTAGCAAGCTAAGCTGAACAAAACAGCAGTGTATTGTCGTCTCTTAAAAATTAATTTTTATTTATCTCATATATATTTTTTTTTTGTTTTTGTTTTTGTTATTAATCCCATTATGTACTACGTTTGTGCGTGTAAATAGATGCAAGACGTTTCGTGAGCTATAACAATTATATTAATAGAAAAAAAAAGTAATGATTTTTTAAATTATAATCGAACCGAAAAACAAAAAAAAAAACAAAAAAAAACAAATATGTGTACCATATAAATTCGCGTTGTTTATTTAATCCATTTTCTTTTTATTTTTCCCTTGTCATTTATTACAAAAAGAAAAGTATTAACACTTGCATAATTGTTATAAACGATTTGTTGTGAAACACTTCGTTCATTATTGTTTATAATTCTTTCCTGTTATTTCGTTAGTCGTGTCGTATATTATATCAAATTGTTTTATTTCTTTTGGTGATTTTTGATCTTAACGGATATTATATATATGTCTCTGATGCCGAATATTAAGTTGTTAATTATTAAACTTACGAAACAGCCTGTACCGATTTACACACGTATTTCATTTAATCCTTATACAGGCAAATTTGCAATAAGTACAATAGCAAAGTCATTAATCGACTTAACAAGCAACTTAGAGTCAGCGAATAACAACGCTTCATCGATCAGTTAAAGAGAACATCTCTCTTTCTTTCTCTCTCTCTCTCTCATCATAGTTATTTCATAGACATAACGATACCATTTAATATCAGTATTATCATACACTCTCGATAAAGAAGAACAATCACCTCACGTGACCTTGAAGAATTGACAACGCTCTCTCTCTCTCTTTCTCTCTTTTTTTAAAAAATTATTCCGAAGAATCGGAATCTGATTCAGCCGGGGTGTCAGAAACTTCACCGTGAGTTTCCGGTGTAGTTTCAGGAATTTTTTTAGTTAACGTTGCTGTCACGTAAGCACCTGGTCCCTCACCTTGCGTATGTTCAATACCAACTCTAAACGTATTATCAATTGCAAATTTAATTATGTATATATATAAATAAAAATAAATAATAAAATCAATGATATTTTACCTGTATTCGTGTCGCGACAAATTTCGTACGTATTTTTCCGGAGGAGAATCGCTGTCACTATTTTGAAAACTCACACTCCTAGCCGTGGTGTGTGAAACTTGTGTAGCCGGCATGGTGAATTCGACGTAACAATATTCGGCTAGATTTTCCGGTATTTGATCGTAGGAAGTTAAAGCCATGCGACAAACCAATTGGTGAGTTGTGTAAGCACCTTTAAATATATTACAAATAATTATTA